GGGGCGGCCTCGTCCTCGGAGGCGGAGTCGAAGTGAGGCAGCGGGTCGATCGGGACGTGCGGCAGGCCTGCGATGGTGGCGTCGCGGCGGGCCTGGTAGTCGCGCTCGGCCCACTCCTCCTCGCGCCTGGTGCGCTCTGCGCGGCGGGCGGCGCGGCGCGCGGCGCTGGCCTGTTCGTCGGGCGACGGGGCGAGGTGCATGTCGGCCAGGGCGTCGGACGCGTCGTCGGGCTCCGCGGGCTCCGCGGGCTCCGCGTGCTCCCTGCGGGAGAGCGAGGGCAGCGGGGGCTTGAAGAGCTTGAGGCGGGCGAAGCGCGGCTTCTTCGCGGCCGCGTGGGCCGGCGCGGCCATGGGGAGCCCGTCCGCGAAGACGGGTTCGCGGGAGGCGTCCGCCGGATCGGGCGCGGGGGGCGGGGCGGCGTCTGTTGGCGACGGGTCGGGGGAGGCGGTTTCGGGCAGGGGGGGCGCGGTGTCGAAAGGCGGGGTTTCTAGGGGGGGAGGCGAGACAGGCGCGGGCTTCGCGGCGGAGGGCTTGTGCTTGGACTTGCTGAAGAAGTTCATGGTGAGGAGCGGGGGGAGTGGGAATGGTGGGAGGTTGAGGGTTGCGGTGCGGGTGAGGAGGGGGCTTACATACTGTAGGGGGAAGGTGGGGATGGAGGGAGGAAGGGCGTGTGGCATAGGGCGTGTGGCATGCATTGAAGGAGGCCCTCAAGAAGAGACAGAGCTGGAGCGGTCCAGCAATGATAATGTGCGATGATTTGCGGTTGGTGGCACCACCAGTGGCAGACGCGTTGCGGCTGCTGGTGCCAGCAGCCAGCAGCCAATTCCCTACAGTGGCACACCACTGTAGGGCCGCCACTGCCGCCGGTGCTGGTGCTGGTGCTGGTGCTGGTGCCAGCACTGCCGCTGTCGTGCTGGTGCCAGCACCACCTCCGCGCCTTACAATTATGTTGCGGCTGTTCATACATCGCTGGACACCGGCTCGCGGAGCCGTTCTCGCAGCAATCAGGATCTGCGCGATCCAATTCTCGCGCATTTGGAGGCCCGCGAGGTTGCTTGTGCTCATCCGCCAGATCCCCCCCCCCCGGTAATTGCGAAATGGGGCAAACGGACGC